ATGACTCGACTGGAATGGATTTGACTAGACTCTACTTTGCCTGGACTACTCTTGTTGCTTCCGACGGTGGTTCCCATTTAAACAGCCACGCGGTCCTTCTCGAATCGCCTTTTTTTTAGCGAACGTCGTCCGGCCGCCGTCACCGACGATGAGTTACCCACCATCGCAGCACATACTACAAAACCCGTAGGCGTCGTTCCGGGGTACGTATGGGTTTATTTCATAACAACATATTTCCGGAAGTCTTGTCGTTCCTGGGCTTCAACTATTGCCGCGGCCGAAATTTGTACCAGCGTCCGGAAATATTACACCTCTTCTACTAATTAAACAACTAACTATCCTTAGAAAACGTCTTAACAAATTAGCTTAGCAACTATATCTCGGAGGAATGGAGCTATTGTACGTTAAATAAAGATTACAAAATATATATTCCAGCGAAATTGATGTCCCTTCATAATTACAGACACGTTATACCTTTTGTGTAATATTTATCTCCTGGTACTTTGTGTTGTTCCACATTTACCGTTTCATACAACATGCAAAACCCTTATTTCACCGCTCGCCACAACTCTCATATGTCCCAAGATAAAATAACGGACGTAGAAACGCATGCCCGAAATTTACAATTCACCTAGTAAAACAATGCGGCTGTTTTAACACGATCTATAGTAATGTTTTTCCAATAAAGGACTACAGAACGGGGTTATTTTCTGAAAGCTCAATATGAGCCTGCATGTGGGCAACAGGTAATAACTTATGCACACTTTATGACTCAATTAAATCCGGCAAATTAAAATTAACCACCGTCGAGATGAAGCCGGTTTTAATAAGGCCGCCCCGATAATTGCTACATGCTGAACGGGAGATTTTACGCTACGATAAAAGAGCTCATATCACGATAAATAGAGCCGTAACCTGGCTCATTAAACCTATTCGGCTTGCTCGACTTGCATAAAGCCAAATTTCACTGTGGATCATTTAAGGCCTACACAAGCTGGAAGGGACGAAACTGAAAATGACAGCGCGATTGATCATGGCGGTGATGAACGGAATTTGTGTAACTAGTGCGCGGAATGGTAAAATGAAGTTTTCTGACGAGGCGGTAGTGATTAAAAAAGTTATTCCGAGCGCTAAAAATGCTTTGTGAATGTTTTGCATACGAAACCCTAATTTAAGGAGAAGATAGTTTGTTTACTTTCGTTTTTCAAATTGTTTCATTTTATATTTTTTTCATTTCAGACATAAAAAAGCGTTTTCAAAAGTGCAATCAACATGATAAATTATGCTGGATCTGCAAGGTTATTAATCGTCGCCTGAGAACTTGTTTGATTTACAGACCAGAGCGCATTCAGGCCACTATCGACTCTAAACCATTTGATCTACAAGCCGACTTTCGTTAGAGCTGAATAAGTGAACAAGTTAAAACGTAATGATCCAAATGACAAAATTTACATTTCAAATTGTATTATCAACTGGTAAAACGCTCACTAAAATTTGTCTTCTCATACCCATCAACAATGAAATGACTTTTATGAATCCGTGTTAAAAAGTAGCATATGCAGTACTGAACCTGTGGTTTATGAATACGCCTTGAATTTTTATTCTCGATATTGGCATTTTTCGGCTTTTCGATTTTTCGTTTTTTCAACTTTAGATTTCTCAATTTTTCAATATTTCAATTTTTTCTTTCTTCAAATTTACGATTTCTCAATTTTTCTCTTCTTGAATTTTACGATAAATATTTAGATTTTTCAATTTTTCAGTATTTTTCAGTTTTTCGTTTTCTTTATGTTTTCCATTTTTCGAAATTGGTTTTTTGCTTTTTCGTTTTCTTAATTTTTCACTCTCTTAACTTCGCAATTTTTGGATTTCTTTCAGTTCTAGGATGTTTGGAAATTTTTAGTATTGGGATTCTTCGACTTTTCGATTTTTCGACTTCTAGATTTTTTACTTTTTGGATTTTCAGTTTTTCCTTTCTTAAATTTAAATTTTTCAGTTTTTCCACTGCCTAAAATTTTGATTTCTCAATTTTTCAACTTTTCGGTACTTTAATTTTTTAATTTTTAAATTCTAGATTTTTTGATTTCCCGATTTTTCAGTTCTTCTATATTTCAGTTTTTTTAATTTTCCGAATTTTTAAATTTTCGATTATCCAATTTTTTTTTTAAATATTTCGATTTTTCAATTATTTGATTTCTCAATTTTTTTATATTTCTTCCAGTTTTGGCATTTTTCAATTTTTCTATTGTTAATTTTTTTTATATTTTTTAGTTTTTCAATATTTCAGCATTTCGATTCTTGGATTTTTCGATTTTTTGACTTGTGGATTTTTAATGCCTTGATTTTGTACATTTTGAATTTTAAATTTTTCGTTCCTTAAACTTTAAGTTTTTTAATTTTTCGACTGTTTTATACTTTGATTTTCAATTTTTCAACTTTTCGATATTTTATTTTTTAAGTTTTAAAATTCTGGATGTTTCGTTTCCTCGAGCTTTCTTTGTTATTTTTTTGTATATTTCACTTTTACAATTTTCCGACTTTTCGATTTTTCAATTTTTTGATGTCTCGGTTTATCGGACATTTCGATTATTCGATTTCTCGGTTTATCAATTTTTCAATTTTTACCTTTTCGATTTTTCGATTTTGGCCTATTTCGGTTTTTGATTTTCCATTGATTTTTCAATTTCTCAGTGTCTCAGTTTTTGAATTTTTCGATGTTAAGATTTTTCAATTTCTCGGTTTTTCGATTTTTTATTTTTTGCTTCCAATTTTTCGATATCTCGATTTTTCAGTTATCAATTGTTTTATTTTTCAATTTTACGATTTTAGAATTCAGTTAGTGGATTTTAAACCATTAGCATTTATTCGATGTTTCAATTTTTCGACTTCTGATTTTTCAAGTTATCTACATTTAATTTTTATTTTTTTTGATCTCTTAAGTTACAGTTTTTGGATCTCATAATTTTGAAGATTTCATCTTTTTTCGGTTTTACAGTTTTTGAGTTTTCCAAATTTTTATTTCAATTCGTTTTTTATTCTTTCCAATTTTTCGATTTTTAGATTTCTCGATTTTGAGTTTTTCAATGTTTCGATTCTTCGGTTCTTCAGTTTGTCAGTGTTCTACTTTTTCGATTTTGCAATTCTTCGTTTTTTCAGTTTTTTGAATTTTGTATCTTTTCCGATTTTTTAGTTTCTCGAATTTTAATTTTTTAAACTGAACAATCAAAAATGAAAAAACGAAAAAGTATAAATATATATATATCTTTCGGCTTTTGGATTTCTCGATTTTTCTATTTTTCGATTTCCCGATGTTTCATTTTTACGATTTCTCAATTTTCCTCCTCTTCCATTTTACGATTTTTAAATATTTCGAATTTTCAATTTTTCACTATTTTGACGCTTATAAATTTTCTGTTTTTCGGTTTTTCAGTTTTTGATATTTTAAGTTTTCGATTTTTCTAAATCACGTTTCTGCTTGTTCGATTTCTAAATTTTTTACTTAATTTTTTTAGCTTTTCGATATTTCCCCCTTGGGATTTTTCAGTATTGCGATTCGACTTTTCGATTTTTCGACTTGGATTTTTTACGTTTTAAATTTTCAGTTTTCCGTTTTCTAAATATATATTTTTCAGTTTTTCGACTGTTAATATTTTGATTTCTCAATTTTTCAACTTTTCGATACTTTAATTTTTCAGTTTCTAAATTCTAGATTTTTTTATTTCCCAATTTGTCAGTTTTTCTATATTTCAGTTTTCAATTTTCCGAATTTTTAAATTTTCGATTTTCCAAATTTTTCTTTTTTAAAATATTCCGATTCTTCAATTTTTCGATTCTTTAATTTTTCTCATGTTTTTTAATTTTTCGATATTTCAGTTTTGAGATATTTCAGCGTTTCGATTCTTCGACTTTACGATTTTTTGACTTTTAAAATTCTGGAGTTTTCGTTTCCTCGAGCTTTCTTTTTTCTTATATTTTAATTTTTCAATTTTCCGAATTTTTAAATTTTCGTCTTTTCGATTATGGCAATAGTTTTGATGCAATCTGGATCAACCAGCAGATATAGAGGTTTCGTAAAGACATAAATTCCTCCATGTGGCCATCCCTTTCTCTTCATGTCTTTATACAGTTGAGTAAATATTAATCCGGGTTACTAAATTTTTCGACTTCTTGACTTTTCGACTCATCTGTTTCTCGATCGTTTGATTTTCGATTTCTCGGTTTTTTGAGTTTTCGATATTTTGATTTTTCAATGTTCTAAATTTCAGATTTTTCGATTTCTCGATTCTTTTTCAGTTCTTCAATATTTCCATTTTTCCATTCTTTGATTTTTGGATTATTCAGTTTTGCGGTTTTACGATATTTTTATGTTTCGATTTCTTGCTTTCTTGAGTTTTCGATGTTAAAAATTTTTCGACTTTCCGATTTTTATATTTCTATTCCACTAGTACTACTAATTTAGGAAGGTTTGCTAGTATTAAACACAAGTAAAGAATAGAGTCGACATTGGCGTGGGCGCGCTCTAGTCTGTAGATAAAACAAGTTTTTAGGCGACGTAATGTATAGATACGTTAATTTGTGATAACACTGTATGTATGGAACTTTATGTTACTGCGAAATAGTCAGTCAACAAGGATTCTTTTTCATCGCAACGAACCAATAAAAATCACTACTACTTATACAAAAAATAAATATTGAAACATTATCCATAAAATATCTAACTATTTAGAAATATTAAAAACTTTAAAGATAAATAAAAATGTATATCCTGAAATGGCTTGTAACAAATATACATATACCATGCTACGGTTAAAATTGCTGGTCATTAAATTATGTACAAACACTATCTTTATTGTTTTTTTATCTACTAAGTAAATGTTTTTAGACGTAAAATATAACTGAACTAAGTTTATATTCAATGTAAATTATAAGTCAAACCATGTAAGCAACATTTCTAAATAAATACAACTCCAACCTAGTTTCAAACACATTTCATAGTGTTGGTGAAGCGTCGTAATGTTAATTCTAACAGTGTTGGTTGTAAAATTTTTGACTGGCATAGCAGCATTTGCCTTCTTCAAATGGAAATTCACTTACTGGAAACGTAAAAACATGCCTTTTATCCAGCCACAGTTCCCCTTCGGAAACGTACCGAATCCTTTCACGGTAAAACAAGCACCCGGATTAATATTTACTCAACTGTATAAAGAGATGAAGAGAAAGGGATGGCCACATGGAGGAATTTATGTCTTCACGAAACCTCTATATCTGCTGGTTGATCCAGATTGCATCAAAACTATTATGACAAAAGATTTTGAATATTTCAACAGTCGCGGAATTTACTACAACGAAAAAGACGATCCTGTAAGTGCTCATGTTCTTCATGTAGGTGGTACCAAATGGAAGACACTTCGATCTAAACTAAATCCCACTTTTACCGCTAGTAAAGTGAAAATATTTTTCCCAATTATGGTAAATCGTGCAGAAAAGTTGTTGAAAAAGCTATGGGCGGTCTATCACCAGAGTGCAACTTTAGATTCCTATAACACTATGTCGTGTTTCACGATTGATATTTTAGGATCGTGTGCTTTTGGTCTTGATTGTAAGGCACTCGAAGACGACAGCTCGGTGTTCACAAAAAGTATAATGAAGTGTGTGGAGCTATCAAAATTACGAGTACTGACGATCCTTATGGCTTCAGTATTTCCAAAAGCTGCGAGAAATTTTAAAGTTAGACACTATCCTAAAGATATAGGTGATTTTTTTATAAATTTCGTAACAAACGTCGTTAAACAAAGACAAGAAAACGTCTGCACTCGTCAAGATTTCATGCAACAGTTAATCGATTTGAAAAATCACAATGCAGAAACGCTAAGCACAGAAGAAATGGCCGCTCAGTGTTTAATATTCTTTTTAGCGGGATTTGAAACTTCAAGTATTACCATGACATTTGCTCTTTATGAATTATCAAAACAACAAAAATTTCAAGACAGAGTGCGACAAGAAATCACTCAAGTTCTTGCTGAATATAATAATGAAATTAGCTACGAAATGATTACGGATTTAAAATATCTGAACCAAGTAATCGATGGTAGGTTGTTTTATGCTTATAAATATAAGTCTTATGTTTTCTGTTCAAGAAACTTTTAGAAAGTATCCAGCGGTGCTCTACCTAACAAGGAAATGCAGTAAAACTTATTGTGAGCCTAATAAAAATATCGTTATAGAGAAGGGAACGCTCGTTTTAATACCTTTGCATGGAATACATCATGATGAGGAGTATTATCCTGAACCGGAAAAATTTGATCCTGAGCGCTTTAACGACACCAATAAAAAAGCTAGACATCATTATAAGCATCTTCCTTTCGGTGCAGGGCCGAGAATGTGTATAGGTATGTTTAAAACAGAGTTTTGGCTAGATAATACACTAATTTTCTCTAGGCCAACGTCTCGCTTTGTTGCAAGTAAAACTGGGTTTATTTATGATGTTGAGAAATTTCAAATTTTCACTTAATGAAAGAACGGAGGAACCTGTAAAACTTACTATGAACTCTACCATAGTCAAACCAGAGGGCGAAATATGGCTAGATATTTGTCCAGCATAAGACAATATTTGAATATTTTCGTAATAATCATGTGAGAGAGAAATGATAGAAAGATAGAAAATATAAATAAAAAAAAATTATCCTATAATAAAGATGTAGCGGAGACACATATAGTGTAGCAATAATGACTTAATTAATTCTTAAAGAAATCAATTTATATGGATTCTTACTCCACCAGCAAATATTTTTTTAACTTTTGTTTTTATGAATAAAATTTCTAAAACTTAGATAACATTTTATTAGATTAGCGAGTTGATCCGGGCGGTCATCGTCGCTGTATATTTATAAGAAAACCAATTCCTGCTCTAGTGGGCCATGACGTCTACGTCTACCGTTTCAATTACACTGCTAACGTACGCGTCATGGCCAACTAGAGCAGAAATTTAAAATATTACACAGTATGGTTTATATTCTCACTTTAAAAACTGTGTGTAGTTGCATCTTAATATACATTTATTTCTGTATCTGTTTTTGGCTTAATGTTGATGTCATTATATACTTATCAAAATTTTTGCATCCTTACATATAAATGATAAGTGATAAAATTCCGAATTTTGCAATAATCAGACTAGTAAGTTGCGTGAAAACAGTAAGCTTTTAGTAATATCTAACAGTGTTTGTTTGTCGAGAGTAGAATTTAATTTAAGAGATTCGTGTATCACAACTTTTAAAAGATAATACTTAAAGTATAATTTCTCAAGTCACCGTCAAATTTGCGCTCTAAATCAGGGATAAGCTCATCCAGGATTAATATTAAACCTGCTTTGACTTTCTCAAAATACTTTAAAAGTAAGCCAAGGAATGCAGTTGCTTTTATTATTAATTTTGAAATTAAAGTTTTATCGCAGTAACACGATTCGTTTTTCATCTAGAGCCCGTGTCACGAGTCCATAAACATTTTACATCGACTAGTATCGGGAAAGTACATAGAATAGAATTGTCAATTGGTCATGTTAGGAAAACTCACTACGCCACAAGTGTAGGATTATATTATTGTATATTTTTAAATTATTTTAATATAGGAACTTCTGAGAAGACGTTATCAAATTATTGGCTTTCGTTTGATCATCATACATGATATTCTTAATGCATATACAAAATTTGACAACCATCGGTCCAGTAGTTTTTAGGAGATTAGTGTCCGATTAAGATAGACACAGACGATAAACGAGAAACAGATGGAAAAAGAAAATCTGTTTTGTTGTACTCTAGGGGTCATGAAACGTCAAGAAAACGTGAAGGAAATTTCCTGCAAACCTTTCTTGGCTTATGCTAGAGAAGACGAAAAATATTTTAACAAAAAATTTTCACAGTTAACGTTGTAAAAGATATTTAGTTCAGAACCTAAAACGTACTTCTAAAATCTAATCTACTAGAAACGAAAGAAATGTTATCAGATAAAGTTTAACAAAAAAGGCATCGAAATTAATGTTACTAGTTACTTATTATCACGAAACGTATACATTTACAGTTTGTTTAAAAAAAATAAAATTATAGCTTTTATCTACACAAAACGATGTAATAAATAAAAATTTAAGTAATATTTTTAACCTTGTTAAGCAAATTTAGCACCGCAATTTAAATGTAAAAAAAACACTATTTATTTTTTTAAACTTTAAAACATGTCTCGTAAATCTAAGTTTTTTTAATAAAAAAAGTGACCTTCTACGTAATACTGATTAACGGAGGGAACTTGTTGCGTATTTAGCAGTTTAGATATTTTTTATATTATTCTTTATTTCACTGAAATGTCATAATCCTGCTGACGTAATTTTTTTCTCTTGAATCAGGTCTTGATTTAGTGTGTTTTCTGTTGATTGAATCGGAATGTTGGTGTTTGGAGAATTCTTACAATCAACTTCTGGATCCAAGGTAGTGCCAAAACCTGTTTCAGTGTTGATATTCATTTTCTTTTCCACATTACAGGAACGAAGTTGATTGTAATGACGCTTAATTACATAACCATCATCTAGTTCTACTAAATAGTGTAAATTACCAATACATTTTGTAATTATTCCATACTTCCATAATTCATGTCTTGAATAATTTCTGGATTGAACTCTATCACCCACTTGAAAATGTTTCTCGAAACTCGATTTGTTTTTCTTTTTTGCTGATTCAGTTGGACTCATAAAATCTAACTTGGATTGTACATTTCTTTCAAAAAAGAGTTCAGAAGGTGTCTGTCCAGAAGATAACGGAGTAACTTGATACCATAGGAAGAAATTTTCGCGTGTAAGTCACCGGGTTCATTCATTATGCATTTAAATTTTGTTTTAAGTGTTTGACAGTATCGTTCTGCATGACCATTTGATCTGCTTGATTTGAAGATGGTTGCATTGCCACTAACTAATATTTCTGGTAATCCATACTGGCCAAAGATTTCTCGTAAATGATACATGGTGCTCGCTGATGTACGAGAATTTTTAACCATAATTACTTAAGGCCATTTGGATTTGGCATCAACAAGAATAAGAAAATGATGGTTGTAAAATGGGCCTGCATAATCCACGTGTACACGTTGCCAATTCTTTTCTGGTATTTCCCATTGATTAATTGATGCCTTTGTAGGATTTTTCTTAACATCGCAACAAGCTTGACAACTTTAACAATATTTTCGATGTCAGAATCGATGCCTTTCCAGTAGCAATAATAGTTTTTTGCTAGATACTTCATTTTAACCATTCCTAGGTGTGTTGATGAAGTTCTTGTAGAAAAATGTGTTGTATTTTTTTTGGAATTACCACACCTCTAAATATTATTCCATCGTGCAGTGAAAATTCTAGATCTCTTCTGGTTCCATTTAGAATTTCTTTCTTCATTTTACACAATTCCGGATCTGCTCTTGTTTCTGTATTTAACACGTATTCATCATCAGTTTTTTCTTCTTCTTTTGGTGATAATTTCAATGGACTTTTGGAGAAATAATCAACATTTACGTGTTCACTGGATTTTGACATTCCATGGAATAATTGAAACCGGATAAAAATTGTGCATATCTTAACATTCTGGTTGCAGATAAGGCTGGAAGTTGTTTTTGAGGGTTTAAAATAATACTCAGTGGTTTATTATTCACAATTAGAATAAATTTCCTTCCCTAAATATAATGAAAAAATCTTTTGAAACTCCGATAAATGGCTGTTGCTTCTTTATCTATTTGACTATAACTACGTTCAGCTTTTGTCAACGACCTGGATGCAAAAGGAACTGGTTTTTCAGATCCGTCTGGAAAACGATGTGACAAAACATCTGAAAGTCCATATGGGCTGGTGTCTGTGGCAAGTGCTATGTCTAAATCAGGTGTAAAAGACATGAGAACTCGTTCACTGGCTATTTCAGCTTTGATTTTTTTGAACGCTGTTTCACATTCGACTGACCATTTAAAATTTGTGTCTTTTCTTAACAGACGGTTTAAAGGATATAATATGCTGGATGCACTGGGAATAAATTTTGTACATATAATACATCACCATTTCAAGAAAACGTTGAAGTTCTTCGAAAGAGTTCGGCCTTGGTGCTTCTATGGTCGCTTTGATTTTAACTTCAGATTTTTCGAGTCCTTTTTTTGAAACGACATGACCCAAATATTGAATTCTCTTCTTGAAAAATTGACATTTTTGTCGATTTAGATGCAAATTATATTTATGTAATCGTTCAAGAACTTTAATTAAACGAAATTTGCAGTCTTCAATAGAAAAACCTTGAACCATTATATCATCAAAATACGCTGGGGTACCTTCTAAATCGTGAACAATTTGATCGATGACTTTATGAAATTCATTTGGAGCCGTTTTGATACCAAAGAAGTGACGTTTTCAGTCTAATGTCACCATTCTTCTTCGGCACAATAACCAAAGGTGTTCTCCACTCAGAGTGATCAGTTTTCTTAATAGTACCTTGATTTTCTAAGTCATCTAATTCCTATTCAATTTTCTCTTGGAGAGCGTATCGAATTAGGCGAGGCTTTATAAAAATTGGTTGTGCATTAGCTCGAAGAGATAAAGAGCATTGATAGTTTGGAATTTCACCAACTTTTGGTTGAAAAATGTCGCTAAATTGATTTTTTTTTCTGACATTGATAGTTGACAAGTAGAAAGAGAATAAAAGTCATGATTACTTATCTGTAGGTTTCGAATCCATCTTCTTCCCATAATGGATGTACCATAATCCATTATGTTCCGCCCAAGTCATCTGTTGATGATTATATCTCATTATTTAATTTGCTCGGTAATCTTGCTGATTTATGGAATGATCGTGTGGTTATCATAGGTGACTTTAACATTGCTGAATATCATATTGGTTTAGAGAACAATATTGTTGGTAATAACAAGTTGTCTGCCCTAAGCACTTTTTTAAATCTTAATAACTATTGTCAGTTTAATACTATTATGAACACTAATGGCAGACTTTTAGATTTGATTCTTTCTAACTATGAGTGCTCTCTTAATGGTTGTCATGATTATCTTTTGCCAGAAGACAGTCATCATCCTTCTCTGGTAATTACCATAGATACTCATCAAGGAAAAAGTGAGATTTTAGGTAATTCTGAAATATTAGTTAAACGGTGGAACTTTCGGAAAGCTGATTATCCCAACCTTTATCACCATCTTGGGCAAATTAATTGGTCGTTTTTAAATGGAGTTAATGATCCGAATACTGCATGTACTTTATTCTACAATAAACTTATTAACATCCTTGATATTTATGTGCCCAAGACTCGTAACATTCGTCATAGCCCCTTCCCGCCTTGGTTCACATTTGACATTATTAATAAAATCAAATTTAAATGGAAACTTTGGTCTAGGTATAAACGAAGTAAAAGTTTAGAGGATCTTTTGAATTTCAAATCTGTACGTTCAGAAATAAAACGTGATGTCAAAATTGCCTATCGTGATTACATCTGCGATTTGGAAAATAACATAAAAGCCAATCCTAATAAATTCTGGACACATATAAGCAGACTTAAAAAACAAGGGGGTATACCGTCCCAAATGAGTTATAATAACAAGGTACTCTGTAATCCTGCAGATATAGTAAATGCATTTGCAACCCATTTTAGTTCAGGTTACACTGACTGTAAAGCCACAAATTTGAATGAATTCGTATGTGAGTC